GGTGTGGCGGTTGTTCACAACCCTTCCTCGCTCCGCGGGGAGGCAGGCTGGGAGTGTCTAATCCCTAGTCGACTGAAATAATAGGCCTATCCAAACGAAATGTCGAATATGCAGTGGAAATGGAGCGTTAGACGTAGCAATTTGCCAGTGTCCCTGCTTTGAGTCTGCCTTGCCTTCCCCCGGTAACAGCAAGCGCGGTTTCTTTAAGCTTGAGCAAAGCGCCTTCTTCCAACACCACAATACAGCCAAAAAGCTAATACGAATGTGTCGTATTTAATGGGCTCCTCAAAAGCGTCAATAACGATATGTGTGTAGCTGGAGGAATCTGTTCCCTTCACGGCGGAGGCAGACAAAAGTAACTCCAAGCCAGTTATAATCCCACTAGAAGCATCAAAGGCAACACAAATAATTATATTATATTGGCCATTTTACAAATTTGGCAGGGAGATATGCTAGCGTGCCACCCTCCAAGCCAGCAGCATCCACATTCCTTTTCTTTTATAACGAGATCAGCCAATGATTGACTGGCGGTACAATGGCAGGCATAATTTCTCATTCAAGAGAGCTGGAACTTGAAACATCTGCTCCTTAGCATCCCAGGTAAGGCTCCAACTATACACGGCTTGCATCACGCAGATCTGCGATGAAATTATGCGGCTGAGCTGGAACAAGCTTGCAAAGTGATTGTTTGGGGAAAATGCGAAAAGGCTTGTTGGCTTATGCGTGTTTTATGTCTCACGACGGCACGTGCAATCAGACAGAAAACGATGCCGGTGGTAGTCCTCAGATGATAGTACGAAACCTTATAAAATCATAACGCCGAAAGTGAGAATGGCAAGAGCAGCCAGGCTTGGAGCTGTTATTGACCCGGAACCTGTGTCGGAAGAGAGGATCTTGTCCCACTGCTCCTGCCTGCGAAACCCCAGCAACCCCATGGACATTATGCACTCATCAATCACAACCTCTTGAGCAGATCTGTGACGGAAAGGCCAAAGTGTTACTTACGTGAATGGAGCCGAGTTGTCGCTTGCAAAAGCAGTAGGCATCGTCTTGCAAAGCAATGCATAGCCCTTTTTCGCAGTGTCGCTGCCCCCTCCCGTCTTCACCATTTCAGGTTCTGGTTCTGTAGTAGATGTAGTCGTCTGAGTGCAAGTGACGACTCGGCAGTCTGCAGTGGCATTAGATGAAGGGTTGTACAGGGCTACAAAAGAAACGTTGTTTTGATCGTCGTATAGTGTTCCAGCTTCTTTCTTTGATGGTGGTAGTCCAGTGAAGTTTTTGTAGGCTGCCTTCCAGTAATCAACTGTTTCCTTGCAGTTGGGTTGCTCGGCAGTTAGGGACTTGAAAGCATATGTTCCGGCCTCAAAGGGATTCGCTGTTCTTGACTGAGCCGCGTTTTCCGTTTGCTGCAGCAGAGAGAATCAAGAAGGAAATGTTACAGTGTGGGATAGCCTTGGTGACCCTGGAAATATTTTTGTGCCACTTACTGGGATTAAGTGTTCGCAAAGCTTTTTCCACTGGCTTTCTCCTTCTAATTGTGGTGGCTCCGGAGCACTTAATTGGTCTTGCTCGTCTGCATCTTTGAAGTTGGCCAACCCAGCTGCTTCACGCGCGGCATTGACCTCAGCGAGGCACTGGACGCTTTGCCCTGCAGCAATGCAGTTGCATTCGGGCATTCCTATATTTTTCTTGTGTACTAAGCGAGGCTATTTCTTGAAAAGTAGAATGGGCTCAGAGTTGTGTACCGGAACTCGCCGGCAGAAATTGACCGGACCGTGTCTCTGTGCGGCCACACAATCCGCCCGAAGGTTCAATACAGAATGGTCGACAAAGCGAAGGTACATCACTTACCGAGAGATGCAGTGTACGTGACTGTTTCTTCAGTTTCTTGTGAGCTGCCCAGAGTTGTGGCGCTCAGCATCAAAAATGAAATCCTGAGAAGTGGTGATAGGTTCCACTGCAGCATCTTCCAGTGTTGGCCTTAAAAATCACGGGTGCGAAAGACTTACAAGAGAAACTATAAAAACGCAAGGCTTCAAGAAAAGGTCAAGAAAAAAACCAGCTTGCTCAAAAGGAACTTATTTTGGGACCCAACACGTTGACCCACGCTGAGTTATCGTTCGAGGTGATCATCCGTGAGCAGTGGCCCTTTGGGATCGGGCAGCACTGAAGTCTCGATCTGTGCTTGCAGAGCTATACCGCTTGAAATTCAACCAAAATATCAATTCAAAGCATTAGTAATTGGAAATTTCGTGCAGAATGAGTCTCAATCGTCGGGACTCAAACGGAGACACGTTTCTACAAAACTTTGTAGGCACCTGAGCAATAGATTAAGGGGACCAAGAGAAGCCTGCACCACTGTGGGTGTCTTACTCTGTAATCTGCCTCCAGCCTTTTTTTATGACGTGAAGTTTTTTCCATCTTTTTTAGGGTCCAAATTGGTTAACGAGTTACAGGCTGCGTACTGCATATTGTTCTCGACGGGAGCTTGTCCGCCATTACTGTTCGTTCCGCAACTAAGCACGCCCTACGTGGAGCAATGTGTCGGTTGTCTTGTGGCCACATGTTGTTTTGTCTCATCCCGCTAGCAACGAGCTGGTCTCCTATGCAGTTACTTAGAGAGCCCTCCTCCTGCGCACACAAAGCAGCCTAGAAGCTGCCACTTACGACTGGTAAGGAGTGTGCTGCTGCAAGTTCCAACACTAAGTGCATGTGGCAGGCGAATGCTGACGCTGGCATAGGCACTCCATATTACCTCCAATTCCATTATACTACCTCCAGAAACGGTCGACTTCGTAAATAATTCTATTGATTCTCCATGGAAAGTATACTATTTGGCCGAGGGGCCAAACTAGTGTGCCAGCATACAACGCCTCATCATCTCGTTTCCCTTTCTCTATCACCAAATCAGCGAATGACTGACAGGCGTTACAGTAGAAGCACAGTTTGTCATTGAAAAGAGCTGAAGCTGCAAACATAGGTATCTAAGAACCCTAGAAAATGCTGTATGCATGTAGTGCTTCACGGAGTTGCGATTAACCTGTTAGGCACAAGTGGAAGAAGCCTGAGGAGCGACGGTTTGAAAAAGCATGAAAAAGTTTCCTGGCCGAAATATGTGCTACGCCCCAACATTGCACCAAAAATCAAACAGAGTACGGCTCAGGTTGCACTTTCCAGCTGGCAGGACGGTCATCACAATAAAATCGCGATGCCGAATGTCACAATGGCAAGAGCAACAAAACTTGGAACTGCTGTCGATGCGGAGCCTGTGAGGGAAGATATGATCCTGTCCCACTGCTCCTGCCTGGAAAACCACCCGCATTCCAGTAGACAATATTCACGTCAATTCATAACAATGAAGGCGCTCTGGGTAGCACTGCGACTCAAGGACCAGAGTGTTGCTTACGTGAATAAAGCAGAGCCGTTACTCCCAAAAACAGCAGGCATCGTCTTACAAATCAACGCGTAACCGGTTTTTGTAGTTCCGTCATCAGCATAAGTTGAGAGCATTTCACCATCTGAACCACCTGTAGTAGTGGTAGTCGTCTGAGTGCAAGTGACGACTCGGCAGTCTGCAGTGGCACTAGATGAAGGGTTGTAGAGGGCTACAAAAGAAACGTTATCTTGATTGTTGTACAGTGTTTCATCGTCAGTCTTTGATGGCGGAAGGCCAGTGAAGTTTTTGTAGGCTGCTTTCCAGTAATCAACTGTTTCCTTGCAGTCAGGCTGCGCAGCAGTTAGAGACTTGAAGGCATACGTTCCGTCTTCAAAGGGTTTCAGTGCGCTGGGCGCCGCCATTGCTTCCGGTGCTTCCGTCTGAACAAAGGAAGAAGATAATATTACAATACTAAATAACCTTTTTTGTTGCGATATTGATCATATTTTGTTCCGCTTACTGGAATCAAATGCTTGCAAATTTTTGTCCACTCGTTGGTGTCATCTAGATTTGTTCCTGTGGGGTCGTTTAATTTATTGTTATCTGATGCCGCTGTGAAGTTGGGCAGCCCAGCTGCCTCACGTGCAGCGTTGACCTCGCTGAGGCACTCGACACTTTGTCCTGGACCGAAGGCATTCGGGCACAATTATATTTTGTGATATTTCAGCTGGGGACAATTCTTGAAAAATAGAATGGATTGGAAGAAGTGGAGCAGTACTCATTTGTAGGAGTCGCCTGAGATAATGTCTCTGTGCTCCTGAAGGCAAGCCAGCGTACGCTGCAGTAAACAGCTGGGTAAAGGCTTGCTACTTACCGAGGCTTGCAGTGTACTTGATATTTGATCCACCTTCTGCTGAATCACCGAGAGGTGAGGCGCTCAGCACCAAGAACAAAGTGCTGAGGAGTAGTGGTAGGCTCCAATGAAACATCTTTGAGGAGTGACCTTCAAAAATCGCCGCTGCGGGAAAATTAAGAGAGCTTTGAAAAAACAAGGCTTTTAGCTAAGCTAATACAGAAGGAAGTTATATTGGCAGCCAAACTTGTGTTCGCTGTTGGAGTCAGCGCCTCCCTGCAAATCCCTTGGTGAGCAATGCCGGCGTGTTGAAGAACGCCCACCGCGGAACCTTAGATCTGCACATGCAGAGCTACATCGCTTGAAATCCAGTCAAATTTTCAATTGCAAATTATACTATTTTGAAAATGTTCGCCAGCGTGAGTGTGAGGGGGAGACTTGAGCGAAGGTGGCCCCCCAAATCTTTGTGGTCCCCTGAGCATTAGATCCTCATGAGAAGGCCAAGCGCACACATCTCTGTGAATATCCTATTCCGCGGGGGGCATCTACCCGATATACATGTTTATCAGCTATTTGTAAAATTTGTGAACCCCAAATGATAATTGAGTTGCAGGTTTCAAGCTGTCTGTTGACCTCGGCAAGCGCTGTTTCGGAAGCGGCGTTTACTGCGCGGCGGGACAGGCAGCGAGTGCACACTCCATATTCGCCTCAAAAAGCAAACCTATCCAAATCAAATTCTTGATTTTCAAGAATAAATGAAACGCAAGACAAGGCAAAATGTCGGTTTCCTTGCCGCCTCAGTCCCTTTTGCCTATTCCCCATGACAACGAGCAGGTTCCCCTAAGTTCGAGAAAAGCGCATTCTGCCAACACCATAACACAGCCTAAACACTAATAAAAATGCCTGGTAGTCAACGGGCTGCTCGAAAGCTCCAATAACGAAGTGTAAGTAGCAGCAGGAAGCTGTTCCCAACATCGCAGCGGCAGAACAAAGTGACTCCAAACCCGTCATACTCTCATTAGAAGCATCAAAGGCGACACAAATAATTTTATTATATTCATCAGTTTACTAATCGGGAAGTGAGACATGCTAGAGTGCTACCTTATAACCCAGCAGTGCTGTAAGCATATACGGCTTGCATCATGCAGAGCCCTGATGAAATTGTGCGGCTGAGCTGGAAAGTATGCGAAGTGATGGTTCGGGGAAAATGCGAAAAGGGTTTTTGGCTGACGCGTGCGCCACTTCTCATGACGGCACTAGAACGAGAACAGAATAGGGTGCAGGTGGTAGTTCTCAGATGATAGCACAAAATATCATTATGTCATAATGCCGAACGTTACAATGGCAAGAGCAGCCAGGCTTGGAGCTGTTATTGACCCGGAACCTGTGAGAGAAGACATTATCTTGTCCCACTGCTCCTGCCTGCGAAATCCCAGCAACCGCATGCGTATTATGCTCTCGAACCCATGGCAATCACAACCTCATCGTCAGATTTGTGACGGAAAGGCCAATGTGTTTCTTACGTGAATGGAGCAGAGGTTTCACTTGGAAAGGCAGTAGGCATCGTCTTGCAAAGCAGAGCGTAGCCATTTTTCGCAGTGTCGGTGCCCCCCTCCGCTGTTGCCATTAGAGCTTCTGGCCGCGTAGTAGTGGTATTCGTTTGAGTGCAAGTGACGACTCGGCAGTCTGCAGTGGCATTAGTTGAAGGGTTGTACAGAGCTACAAAAGAAACGTTGTCTTGATTGTCATACAGTGTCCCAGCTTCCTTCTTTGATGGTGGTAGTCCAGTGAAGCTTTTATAGGCTGCCTTCCAGGAATCAACTGATTCCTTGCAGTTGGGTTGCCCGGCAGTTAGGGACTTGAACGCATACGTTCCCTTTTCAAAGGGATTCGCCGTTCTTGTCTGAGCCGCGGTTCCCGTTTGCTGCATCAGAGAGAATGAAGACAAAAATTCTAGTGAAGAATGGCCCCGGAGGTCTTTAGCCTCGAAATATTGTGAGGCACTTACTGGGATCAAATATTCGCAAAGTTTTTTCCACTGTTCCCCTAGCTCTTCTTCCTCTGCTGCTGGATCACTTAATTCTGTGTCACCTGAAGCCTGCATGAAGTGATCCAACCCAGCTGCCTCACGCGCAGCATTGATCTCGCTGAGGCACTCGACTCCACTCCCTGCAGCAATGCAGCTGCATTCAGGTAATATATATCTGTCATTCACGAGTTGAGCCTATTTCTTGAAAAGTAGAATGAAATCAAAGTCGTGTAGTGGAACCCACCTCCAGAAATTAACCCCGGAATATGACACCGGACCATGTCTCTGCGGCCAAACACAAGCCACCATGAGGTTCAGTATGGAATGGGCAACACAGCGAAGGTACATCACTTACCGAGAGATGCAGTGTACGTGACTGTTTCTTCAGTTTCTTGTGAGCTACCCAGAGTTGTGGCGCCCAGCATCAAAAATGAAATCCTGAGAAGTGGTGGTAGGTTTCGCTGGAGCATCTTCGAGTGTTGGCCTTAAAAATCACGGATGCAAAAGACTTAGAAGAGAAACTATAAGAACACAAGGCTGTCAGACAAGCGCGAGCAAACTCAAGTTCGTGCAAAAGAAACTTATTTTGGGACCCAACACGTTGACTCACGCTGAGTTATCGTTCGACGTGATCAGCTGTGAGCGCTGGCCCTTTGGGCTCGGGCAGCACTGAACTCTCGATCTGTGCTTGCAGAGCTGTATCGCTTGAAATTCAACCAAAGTATAAATGCAAAGCATTAGTAATTGGAAATTTCGTGCAGAATGAGTCTCAATCGTCGGGACTCAAATAAAGACACGTTTTCGCAAAACTTTGTAGCCACCTGAGAAGTAGAATCACGGGACAAAGCCAAGCGTGCATCACTGTGCGTGTCTTATCGTGTAAGCGAAGATAAATCTTCCTATAGCTTTTAGGATGTGAAGTTTTTTCCATCTTTTTAAGGTCCATATCGGCAAAAGGGTTTCAGGTGCGTGCTACATATTGTTCTCGACGGGAGCTTGTCACTCCTGTTTGTTCTGCAGCTAAGCACACCGAGGAACTAAAGCCCTACATGGAGCAAGCTGTCGGTTCTCTTGTGGCCACATGCTGGTTTGTCTTGTCCCGCTAACAGCGAGCTGGCTCCTATGCAGTTACTTAGAGAGCCCTCCTCCTGCGCACACAAAGCAGCCTAGAAGCTGCCACTTACGACTGGTAGGGAGTGTGCTGCTGCAAGTTCCGACACCCACTGCGTGTGGCACGCGAATGCTGCTGCTGGCATAGGCACTCCATATTGCCTCCGAACCCGTTATACTGCCTTGAGAAACGGTAGATTTCATAACTAATCCTATTGATTCTCCATGGAAAGTATACTATTTGGCCGAGGGGCCAAACTAGTGTGCCACGATTCAACCCCGCAACATCTCGTCTTCCTTTCTCTATCATAGAATTAGCGAATGATTGGCACGCGCTACAGTAACAGCACAGTTTGTCACTGAAAGGAGCTGAAGCTGCAAACACAGATATCTCAGCATCCTAGAAAATGCTGTAAGCGTGTAGAGCTTCCACCTCATGGAGATGCGATTCGCCTGTGGTGCAGAAGTGGAAGACGTCTGTGAAGCGGTGGCTTGAAAAAGCAGGAGAATGTTTCCCGGTTGAAATATGTGCTATGCCCCAACATTGCACCAAAAATCAAACAGAGTACGTTGCAGGTTGCACTTTCCAGCTGGTACGATGGTCATCATAATAAAATCGTAATGCCGAATGTCACAATGGCAAGAGCAACGAAGCTTGGAGCTGTTATCGATGCGGAGCCTGTGAGGGAAGATATGATCCTGTCCCACTGCTCCTGCCTGGGAAACCACCCGCATTCCAGTAGAAAATATTCACTTCAATTCATAACAATGGAGGCGTTCTGGGTAGCACTGCGACGCAAGGACCAGAGTGTTGCTTACGTGAATAAAGCAGAGCCGTTACTTCCAAAAACAGCAGGCATCGTCTTGCAAATCAACGCATAGCCTTTTTTTGTAGTTCCGTCTTCCGCATAAGTTGAGAACCCTCCACCATCTCCATCACCTGCAGTGGAGGTAGTCGTTTGAGTGCAAGTGACGACTCGGCAGTCTGCAGTGGCACTGGATGAAGGGTTGTAGAGGGCTACAAAAGAAACGTTATCTTGATTGTTGTACAGTGTTTCGCCTTCAGTCTTTGATGGTGGAAGGCCAGTGAAATTTTTGAAGGCAGCCTTCCAGTAATCAACTGTTTCCTTGCAATTGGGTTCCGCGTCATCTAGGGACTTGAAGGCATATGTTCCATCTTCAAAGGGTTTCGGTGCGCTGGGCGCCTCCATGGCTTCCGGTGCTTGGGTCTGTGCAGAGGAAGAAGATGAAGTTACAGTGCAGGATAACCTTTGTTGTCACGCCATTGATCATATTTTGTTCCACCTACCGGAATCAAATATGTGCACACTTTTTTCCAGTCGTTGCTGTCGTCTAGGTCTGATCCTGCGGGGTCGTTTAATTTGTCGCCATCTGAAGCCTCTGTGAAGTTGGGCAGCCCAGCTGCCTCACGCGCAGCGTTGATCTCGCTAAAGCATTCGACCGTTTTCCCTGCGGCAGTTGCTTTCAGATACACCTATATTTTGTAATGCTTGAGTTGCGGCTACTTACTGAAAAACAGAATGGACTGGAAATGGTGTACCAGCACTCACTTGCAGGAGTTGCCCGAGATCGTGTCTCTATGCTACTGCACGCAAGCTAGCCTAAACTTGAACGTGAAGTGAGCATCTGGGGCACAGGCTTAATACTTACCGAGCGTTGCGGTGTACTTGATTGTTTGTCCACTTCCGGGTGCGCTATCTAGAGTTGAGACGCTCAGCACCCAAAAAAAAGTGCTGAGAAGTAATGGTAGTCTCCAATGAAGCATCTTTGAGAAGTGTGCTTTAAAAATCACGGCGATGAAAAAGTTTAAAAAGAGATGTGAAAAAGGAAGGTTGTCAGCGAAGCTAATACACAAGGAAGTTGAATTGGGAGTCAAAGTTTTGTTCCCTGCAGCCGTCAATGTCTCTTTGGAGATCCGTTGGTGAGCCGTGGTCGTGCAGCATTGATACCTAGATCTGTGCTTGCAGAGCTGCACGACTTAAAATTCAACCACACTATCGATTTCAAATCAATGACGCTGGTAAACGTCGCGCATAGTGAACTTTTACGCGGGGACATGAACAAAGACGCCTCCTTAACTCTTTGTAGCCATCTGAGCACTAGATCCTTATGAAAAAGCGAAGCAGATGCACGTCTGTATATGTCCTACTCCGCAGGCGAAATCTAATCTTTCTATGCAGTTGTCTAAAATTTGCTGCAATTATGAGCACAAAATGGTAATTGGGTTGCAAGTTTCACTGTGTTTCCTTGTCTCGATAAGAGGTTGTTCGCAACGCGTGTTTGCTCTGCAGGCAGGCAGGCCACGAGCCCCCACTCCGCATACGCCTGAAATAGCAGACCTAACCAAGCAAAATTCCAAATATGAAGGGGAAGTGAAATGTGTGACGAGACAAGCTGTTGAATTACTTATCGCTTGAGTTCGTCTTGCCCTTTCCCCGTAGCATCGAGCGGGGTTCCGTCAAACTTGAGAAAAGCGCCTTCTGCCAACGCCAAAACACAGCGTAAAGGCGAATACGAATGCCTGGTAGCTAATGGGCTGCCCAAATGTTTCAATGACGAAGTGTGTGTAGCAGGAGAGCGGCGCTGCCTGCATGGCAGAGGCAGACCAAAATGCGGGGAAACCCGTTACAATCCACTTGGAAGCATCAAAGCCTTCACAAACCATTTTATTATATTGGTGATTTTGCTAATTGGGCAAAGTGATACACTAGTGTGTCACCTATTAACCTGGCATCATTTACTTTCCTTTGCCTTATCACAGAAAAAGCAAATAATTGGTAGGCGCTACGGGAGTAGGCATAATTTGCCCCTGGCAACAGCTTAAGCTAGGAAAATCGGCTTCTTCGCAGCCTAGAAAATGCTATAAGCATACACGGCTTGCACCATGCAGAGCTGTAATTAAATTGTGCACCGGAAGAAGGTTTGTGATAGTTTGGGGAAAATGTGAAAAACCTTCTTGGTCGGCACGTGATCATGAAGTTGTAATGCCGAACGTCACAATGCCAAGAGCAATCAATCTTGGAGCTGCTATCGACGCGGAGCCTGTGAGAGAAGAAATGATCCTGTCCCACTGCTCCTGCCTACGAGAACCCGGCAGCCGCGTGAGCATTATGCAGCGCAGTTCACAGCAATCAGGACCGCGCGAGTATCACTGCGCGGGAGGATTGAAGAATTGCTTACGTGGATGGAGCAGAGGTTTCACTTCCAAAAGCAGCAGGCACCGTCTTGCAAAGCAATTTCGTAGTGTTATTATCGCCCCCATCCGTTGTTGCCATTACAGGAAGTGTAGTGGGGGTAGTCCTTTGAGTGCAAGTGACGACTCGGCAGTCTGCAGTGGCATTAGATGAAGGGTTGTACAAAGCTACAAAGGAAATGTTGCCCTGATTGTCGTACAGTGTTCCAGCATCATTCTTTGATGGCGGCTGTTTCCTTGCAGTTTGGTTGCTCGGCAGTTAGGGACTTGAAAGCATATGTTCCGGCCTCAAAGGGATTTGTTGATCTTGACTGAGCAGCGGTTTCCGTTTGTTGCATTAGATAGAAGGAAGAAGGAAATCTTAGTGGAGAATAGCCTTAGGGGTCTTTACTCACGAAGCATTGCGAAGCACTTGCTGGGATCAAATTTTCAAAAATTTTTTCCACTTGCTATCTAGCTCTGCTTTTGGATCACTTAATTTATTTCCTCTGCAGCCTCTGCAAAGTCGGGCAACCCAGCTGCCTCGCGCGCAGCGTTGACGTCGCTGAGGCATACAGTGCTTTTGCCTGCAGCAATTGACTTCAGGCACGCCTATGTTTTTCTACTGCATTAGTTGAGACTATTTGTTGGAAAGTTGAATGGACTCAGGTTTATGTAGAAGAACTCACATCCAATAGTTCACTCGGACCCTGTCTCCCATGCCACTAAACGCAAGCCAGCTTAAGCTGAAATGAGAAATGAACGGCGGGTCAAAGGGTTACTGCTTACCAAGAGATGAGTCATACTTTTTTCTGATTGGCTGCCTTGTGAGCTGAACACGATTGAGACATTCAGTACCAAGAATGAGATCTTGAGAAGCAATGGTAGGTTCCAATGGAGCATCTTTGATGTATTAATTTTGAAACTTCACGAGTAAGAAAAAATTGCGAGAAAAACTTTATAAAACAAAGCTGCCATCGAATTTAGTGCGAAAGAAACTTGTTCTGGGAGCCGACACTGTAACTGCTCCTGCGGTCAGTGCCTCTTTGGGTACGCACACTAGTGGACATGGGGAAGCGCTCAGCTCGAGATCTGTGCTTGCGCAGCTGCATCACCTCAAATTCAATCAAGCTACCAATTAAAAAACATAACTTTTCAAGAAAATGAGGCAGAATGAGTGTGTATGCGGAAACTAAAACGAGAAACACCTCGCCAACAAAGCTGCAGCCAGCTGAGCGTTAGTCTCTCATCGACATATGATGCGTGTACCTCTGTACACGTCCTGCTCTGCACGCGGAATCTACTGCTTCTCTAGCTTTAGTTATAATGTGCGATTTTTTCGACAGTGAAACGGTAAATGAGTAACGGGTTTCAAGGTAATTGTCGATATCTTCGGGAGGCTGTTCGCCAGAGTGCTTGCTCAGGGGATCAGCATGCCCGAGGCACCTAACCCATATAAGCCTAAAACACGTGGTCTAGCAAATCTAAATTCCAAATGAAGTGCAGAGATGCAACAGTAGAGCGCGTAGGCTGTCGGTTCCTGCGTGGCCACACGTTGTTTTGTCTCTTACCAACAATGGAGAGCTGGCGCCCTCTGGAACTGTGCGGAGGGCCTTCTACCAGCATTACAAAGCAGCCCAAAAGCAACCACAAGTCCCTGGTAGGCACTGTGCTGCTCCAACTACGAAGTGCGTTTGGCCGCCGAATGCCGCTGCCAGCACCGGCAGTTCACACTGCGTCCAAACTCATCGTGCTACTTCTAGAAACATCAGAAATACCACAACCAGCTTTATTCTATAATTGGGCTTACTAATCGAGCAAGGGCACATACTTGCATGTCACCTATAAAGCCAGCATCATCAAGCTTCCCTTTATCTATCCCAGAACTAGCCAATGATCTGCAGAAGCTACAATAGCATGCGAAATTTGTCATTAAAGAGAGCTGAAACTAGAAATAGCGGTTTCTTATAGTGCCAGAAAATGCTTTAAGCGCATACTCTCTGCAACTAGCGGAGCTGTAGTTAAACTGGGCAGCAGTATTGCTAGAAGCCCACGAAATGACGATTTCAAGAATGCGAAGCGTTTAGGTGGTTGGCGCGTGCCACGTCTCACATTTGCACCGAGACTCAGGCAGAATACGAAGCAGGTTATATTCTTGAGCTAGCAGCATAAAGCATCATAAAGTTGTAATGCCGAACGTCACAATGGCGAGAGCAATAAAACTTGGAACTGCTATCGATGCGGAGCCTGTGAGAGAAGATATGATCCTGTCCCACTGCTCCTGCCTGCAAACCACCCCCAATCCCATAGACAAGATTCAATCCAACTCACAGTAGTCAAGGCATTGTGAGTAGCACAGCGATGCATGAACCAATTTACTGCTTACGTGAATGGAGCAGAGCTGCCATCTCCAAAAGCAGCAGGCATCGTCTTGCAAATCAATGCATAGCCGTTTTTTGAAGTTTCGCCTTCCACATGAGCTGACTCCATCCCACCACCTGTAGTTGTGGTAGTCGTTTGAGTGCAGGTGACGACTCGGCAGTCTGCAGTGGCACTAGATGAAGGGTTGTAGAGGGCTACAAAAGAAACGTTGTCTTGATTGCTGTACAGGTTTTCGTCTTTAGTCTTTGATGGTGGAAGGCCAGTGAAGTTTTTGTAGGCTGCCTTCCAGTAATCAACTGTTTCCTTGCAATTGGGTTCCGCGTCAGCTAGGGACTTAAAGGCATATGTTCCTTCTTCAAAAGGATTCGTTGAGCGTGAGCTAGCCGCTTCTTCCGTTCCTTCCGTCTGAGCAAAGGAAACAAATAATGTTACACTACAAGACAGCCGTGCTGATCGTGACTTCAGTCATATACCGCGCCACTTACTGGAATCAAATGTGTGCAAAGCTTTTTCCACTCGCTTTCTTCTTCAAGTGCTGTTCCTTGTGGTGGATCTTTTAATTTATTGTCCGTTGGTGCCTCTGCGAAGTTCGGCAGCCCAGCTGCCTCACGCGCAGCGTTGACCTCGCTAAGGCACTTGACGGTGTCCCCTGCAGCAAATTCAGTAAGACCCATCTATATTTTGTGGTTATTTAGATGATGCCACTTCTTGAAAGTAGACTGGACTGTGCATAGCATAGCAGGGTTCATTTGCAGGAGCTGGCTAAGTTCCTGTCTCCATAGTACCGGACGCAAGCAGTATAAGCTCCACTACGGAGTGAACAGCAAGGTAAAGGTGTACAACTCACCGAGAGATGCAGTGTACTTGATTGTTTGTCCACCTCCTTCTGAGCTACCTAGAGTAGAAAGACTCAGCACCAATGATAAAGTGCTGAGAAGCGATTGTAGGCTCCAATGAAACATCTTTGAGGAAAGGCCTTCAAAAATCGCGGCTGCGAAAAAATTAAAAAAGAACTGAGAAAAAGTATGGCTTTCGGGGAGGACAGTGCCGAAGGGAGCTAATATTTGCAGCCAAATCCTGTTCGCTACTGGCGTCAGTGCCTCCCTGCAGATCCGTTAGCGAGCAATGCTGGCGTGTTAACAACGAGCAGAGCTGAGCCTTAGATCTGTGCCTGCAGAGCCGCACCGCTTGAAATACACACCTATTATGGACGCAAAATTAGAGTCTTTTAAAATTGTCCGCCAGAATGAGCGTCAGGGGGGGGACTTAAACGAAGACGCGCACTCCCGAATATTTGTGGTCCCCTGAGCACCAGATCCTCACGATGAGGCCAAGCGCATACACCTCTGTACGCATTCTCTCTTGTGGAAGAAATCTAATCTTTACGTAACTGCATCAATGCTGCGCAAAATTTCTGAACGGAAAATCGTAATTCAGTTGCAGGTTTCAAGGTGCCTGTTGATCTTAACGAGAGCTGGCTCGGAACTTGCGTTTCCTGCGAGGCAGGACAGGCCGGGAGCGCATACTTCCTATTCGCCCCAGATAGCAGGCCTGTCCAAACAACATTTTAAAAATGAAGGGCAAATGAAACTCCAGACGAGGCAAGGTGTCAGTTTCCTTGCCGCTTCAGTCCCTTTTGCCTTTTCCCGGTGACGGTGAGCGGGTAACCCTCAGCTCGAGAAGACCGTCTTCTGCCAGCACCTTAACACAGCCCAAAAGCTAACGCAAATGCCTGGTAGCTAATGGGCTACTCTAAATCTTCAACAACGAAGTGTTTGTAGCAGGAGGACGCCGCCGCTTGCACGGCAGAGGCAGACCAAAATGACTCCGCCCCCATTGTAATCCTACTAGAAGCACCAAAGGCAATGCGAATAATTTCATTCTATTGGTCAATTTACTAACTGGGCAGGGAGACGTGCTAGTGTGCCACCTTATAATCCAGCAGCATCTACATTCCTGCTCTGTATAGCAGAATCAGCAAGTGATTGGCTGGTGCTAGCATGGCAGGCACAATTTCTCACTAAAGAGAGCTGGAACTTCAAGCAACTACCGCTTATTAGCCCAGCTAATGCTGTAAGCATGCACATCTTGCATCACGCAGAGCTGCGATGAAATTGTGCGGCTGAGTTGGAAGAAGCTTGCCAAGTGATGGTTGAAAGAAAAGTGAAAAAACTTCCTGGTCGGTGCATGTGCCCATCTTACGATGGCACCAGAAATCAGACAGAAAAAGGTGCTGGTGGTAGTGTTCAGATGACAGCATGACACATCATAAAGTCGTAATGCCGAACGTTACAATGGCAAGAGCAATCAGGCTTGGAGCTGTTAACGACGCGGAACCTGTGAGCGAATATATGATCTTGTCCCACTGCTCCTGCCTGCAGAACCCCAGCAACCGCATGTGCATTATGCAGTCCAATTCATAGCAATCACGATCTCGTGGGCAGCGCCGCGACAAAAAGACCGAAGTGCTACTTACGTGAATGGAGCAGAGGTGTCATTTTCAAAAGCAGTAGGTGTTGTCTTGCAAATCAAAGCATAGCCTTTTTCGGTGGCCTCGGCGTTTCCGTCACGTGATGCGGTGTTAGGATCTTGAGTAGTGGTATTCGTTTGAGTGCAAGTGACGACTCGGCAGTCTGCAGTGGGATTGGATGAAGGGTTGTACAGGGCTACAAAAGAAACGTTATCTTGATTGTTGTACACCTTCTTTTCATCTTCACTCTTTGATGGCGGCAGTCCAGAGAATTTTTTGTAGGCTGCCTTCCAGTAATCAACTGTTTCCTTGCAATTGGGTTCCGCGTCGCCTAGGGACTTGAAAGCATATGTTCCATCTTTAAATGCTTCTGCCGATGCTTGAGCATTATATGCTGCAGGTGGCGCCTGATAGGAGCAAGCAAGAAATGAGGACAGCGCTAGTGCACAGGATGAGGCTAATGGAACGAAGTCCGCAGCCTGCTTGGCGGCATACCGGTACCAAATATTCACAAAGATCTTTCCATCCGCCTTCAGTAAGCTCTGTGGAACCAGGGCCGGTAATCTTTTGTTCGTCAGTTTCTGCCTTATTGAAGTTGGCGAATCCAGCTGCCTCACGGGCAGCGTTGACTTCGCCGAGGCATTCGACAGAGCCACCTGTAAGCATTGAGTCCGAAGACCCCCATTCTCTCTTCTTTGTTATATTTTTAAGCACGAGATTAAGTAAGGTCTCATCTGCACAAGGGAGATTTTTGGAGTTGACGCCGAGCCCCAGCTGTGGGCCACAACAAAGACAAATTCAAGTAGAAAGTTGGCTAGACAGCCAAGATTAACTACTTACCAAGCGTTGCAGTATACTTTACGGTAGTTCCCGCGGTTGCTTCTAAGCTCTTCTCATTTAGCAGCAGCAGCGAGGCGCTGAGGAAAGACGCCAAGTTCACACGGAACATCTCCGCTGGCAGGCCCTTCGAGTATACCAAGGATAAGAACAGTTGCTTGAAGCAACATAATATCTGAAATGCGAAAAAAAATAGTGCTACAGGGAAGATCAAGGAGAAGCTGCTCTTGTGCGTGCTTCAATGCGGCGCTGAAGATGGTCGGTGAGCTAGGGCTGCCGACGCTCACACAAGACTATGAAGAAAATTTGACGTGGTGAGCCAGCAGATGTTGAAAATGGGTGTCACAATAACCGATAGTGCTTGTGTCTCAAGAAACACATTAAAGTGTGAGTATAAAGGCTGTGTCACGTAGAATCATCCACGTAATAGAACATTTAGAAAAGCCTGCCCTCTAGATCCACAGAGTCCTTCACACCAAGGGATCTACTGCAGTTGACAGCCTGAAACCGATCCCTTCTATCAGTCGCTCTGCCACCAATTAATTTATGGAGTAGTGCAAATACGTTTAATCTGCAGGTTTCACAACCCACAGAGTGCTCAACAAGAGTGCTTTCCGCACTGTTGCTCCCGTGAAACCTCAGCAGCAACGGGCCGGGAGTGAATTGAGAAGAACGTGCAGAAGCCAATCATTGGCCAAGTACTTCCACGATACATTTGCCTCTTAATATTCCTTTCCAACGCACACCCAGTCAACCCTAAACCCTAAATAATCGTTTTGTTCCAGGACTCATAAACTTTGCTAGGCATGTTATCTCCACTGGCAAACAATTTCAAGTGCACTGGATTTCCTGAGTGCGCAGGACGTTGCACCCACAATTGAATGAGGAACATAAGAGGGGAAATGTTCTGTTGAAAGCGGCTGCACGCAGGTATCTCCATGGAAAGGACTTTTCTCCATGCAAATCGAAGAGAAAGTGCAATGCTGACCAAACCAACCACCAGCATGAACACTCCACAAAAGCCTACAGTACCAGCTCACAAGTGATCACAATTTATTCTCTATAGAATGTTCCCGCAGGCATAAGGACGATTTCACCCCGTACAAGCCTGGAATAACTCGTCTCTCCCCAACAAACTCCAAATGTGCGCAAGAGCCGAATGCTGCAACTTTCTGCGTGGCCCCACATAATTTCAGTAAGAGAGAGAATGATTTATGAAAATAAGCACAAATCCATTCGCCAAACGCCGCAAGGCGGCGTGAAAGCTCTAACGTGTGCGGAGCAATCAATGGGGTGCTGGGAGTGCTTCGAAATTCCAGCGACAAGGTGTGCGTTGCAGCTCAATGTCACCGTTCGCCTGCCCGTTCCATCTTTATTCCTTTATACTAGCTCTATAAATATCATTCAAAGCCTCTGCAATCAGGCTTTTCCGTTTGGTGAGGATATTATTCGGCCAGGTAGCGGAGAACTGTGCCCGGTGGAAAGTCGCTAGTGACCAGCACGTGCTAAAATAGCAGGCATAGTTTATCATTAAAAGGAGCTGAATTTGGTTTTACACGATTCTGGGCAATGCCGTAAGCATGTACATTCTTCCTTCCACGAAGGTGCGCTACAAGCGTGCGGCAGGAATAGGAGTAAGTTGTTAAGGGCTCAGTTTTTTAAGGGCCTTTTCTGTAGGCAAGTGCGCAGCGTTTCATCTTTGAATCAGGTTTTTGGCAAAGAGCGATGCAGGCAGTATTTTACAGCTGGCAGCTCGAAAAATCATACAGCTGTAATGCCGATTGCCACAATGGCAAGAGCAACCAGGCTTGGAGCTGCTATCGACGCGGATCCTGTGAGAGAATACTTGATCTTGTCCCATTGCTCTTGCCTGCGAACCAGCCGCAATCGCATGGCTGGCGTTTAGTCCAACTTAAAACAATTACGGCGATGTGGGCAGCACTGCGGCACAAGGACCAAAGTGTGCTTACGTGAAAGGAGCGGTGCTGTCATTTCCGAAAGCAGTAGGCATTGTCTTGCAAATCAAAGCGTAGCCCAATTTCGTGGTCTCGCTGCTGCCACCACTTGATACGCTAACCAAAAGGGCAGAAGGAGACGTCTTTTGAGTACAAGTAACGACTCGACAGTCTGCAGTGGCATTAGATGAAGGGTTGTACAGGGCTACAAAGGAAACGTTGTCTTGATTGTCGTACAACTTTTCAGCTTCCTTCTTTGACGGTGGCAGTCCAGTGAAGTTTTTGTAGGCTGCCTTCCAGTAATCGACAGTTTCGGTGCAGTTTGGTTGCTCGGCAGTAAGGGCCTTGAAAGCATAAGTTCCATCTTTGAAAGGCTGTGCAGCCGCTTGGGAATTATATGCTTCGGGTTGCGTCTGAGAAAAGGAAGCAAGAAATGAAAACAGCGCTAATACACGCGATGAAGCTAATGCAAACAATTTCACATAATGCTCAGCGCCTTACAGGTACCAAATATTCACAAAGATCTTTCCAGTCGCCATCAGTAAGATCCTCAGATCCAGGATCAGATATTTGGTCCCCTTTTTCTGTTGCCTTAGTGAAGTTGGCTAATCCAGCTGCCTCACGGGCATTGTTGACTTCGCCAAGACACTCGACAGAGCTACCTGCAACCATTGACTCCGAAGACCCCCATTCTTTTCTGTATGTTTTTCATTACACTTCTGCATACGGGATTAAGCACGTTTCCAAGTGCACAAGCAGAATTGTTGGAGCTGACGCTCGGCCCCAGCTGTGGGCCGCAACAAAGTCAAATTCAAGCAGAAACCCGGCGAAGCAGCCCAGATTAAGGCCTTACCAAGCGTTGCTGTATACTTTACGGTAGTTACTGCAGCTGCTTGTGAGCTCTTCTCGCTTAACCACAGCAGCGAAGCGCTGAGGAAAGTCGCCAAGTGCACACGGAACATCTCTGCTGACTGGTCTACTATATGAAGAAGCTGTTACACGAAGAAACAAAATGCCTGAAAAGTAAAAAGTACAATATTACAGCTGACAGATGAAGGAGAAGGTTCTCTTGCCCATGTGTGGCGTCGGAGAGGGTCGGTGAGGTAGTAACTGCCGACGCTCACACAAGACTATATGGACGGGGTCTGAGGTGGTCAGCACGCAAATGTTGAAAGTGAATATCTTTGTAACAGATGAAGTTTATGTCCCAAGAAAATTACTAGAGTGTGAGTAAAAAGGCCATGCTTCTTAACACGACTTTCAAGATAGAACACTTGAAAGAATCCTCGTAGATCCAAGCAGTCTCTGACTGCTGCATCCGACAGTCTGGGACCGACCCCTACTCGCCCTCTCACAAATAAATTTATGGAATGTTGCAACTCTGGTTAATTTACAGATTTTAAAACCCGCAGAATGCTCTGAACGAAGGGGCTTTCAGGACCGTTGGTCCCCGGGCACCGCACTTCAGCAGAAACGGGCCAGGACTGCCTTAAGAAGAGCTTGTAACAGCCAATCATTGACCAAATACTCCTGCGATTTATTTCTCTCTTAATATTTTTTTCTGACGCACATCCAGAAAATAGGGAACAAGCAATCGCTTTGCTTCAGGCTACACACACTTTGCTAGGCATGTGACTTCAGCTCGCAAGCAATTTTAATAAGCTGTCCACGGTGCCCACGACGTTGCGCCCCCCCATTGAATGCGGCAAATGAAAAGAAATATATGCGGCTGAAAGCGGCTGCGAGAAAGTATCCTCGTGAAAAGAACCTTCGTTGAGACGAAACGCAGAGACAGTGCAACGCTGACCCAGCCAACCACTGCGACGCACACTCCACAAACGCCCACAAAGCCAGCTTAAAAATTGATATTTATTTTTTCCTATATAGCTGCTTATTGTGAATGTTGCCACAAGCATAAAGACGATTTCAGCCCGTGTAGGCCTGGAATAGCTTGCCTCTCCACAAGAAATTCGTGCGGCAACTTTGTGCAGAGGCAAGCTATTCCAGGCCTGCAAGGAATGAAATCGTCCTTGTGCTTGTGAGAACATTCATAATATGCAGCTCTACATGTGCAGATAAGCTCAAAGATTCAGCTTTCTTCGTGGCCTCACATTGTTTCAGTAGTTGATAGCGCGTTTTCTACAAAAGCCAAACAGAAAACTTTCGGCCCAGTTCTGCAAGGCAGCCTAAAGGCTCCTACTCACGCCAATCAGTCAATAGGGAGCTGGGAATGCTTTCAAATTCCAACGACAAGTTGTGCGTGGCAGGTAAATGTTACTATTGGCCTACTCAGTCCATCTTGTGGCCTTTTGCACTTGCTCTATGAAATATCAGAGCCGTCACAAGCAGCTTTTGCCATTTCCTGGGAATACTATGTGACCAGGGAGACTTACAAGTGTGGCAGGGGAGAAACCGCAAATAGTCGGCATATGCTAAAATAGCACGTACAGTTTATCACTCAAAGGAGCTGAATCTCTAACTTCGGCTTTACGCGATTCCGGGAAATGCCATAAGCATATGCACTTTTCCTTCCGCAAAGGTGCTCTACAAGCTTGAGGCAGAAATGGCAGCAGGTTATAATGAAGTGGTTTAAGAAAATGTGAAAAGCCCTTTTGTTATGCAAGGGCGTAACGTTTCATCTTTGCATCGGGCTTTTGGCAAACAACGAAGCAGGCAGTATTTTACAGCTGACAGCTCGAAACATCATACAGCCGTAATGCCGAATGCCAGAATGGCAAGAGCAGCCAGGCTTGGAGCTGCTATCGACGCGTGTCCTGTGAGAGAAGATTTGATCTTGTCCCATTGCTCTTGCCTGCGAAAGCCCCGCAGTTAAGTAGACAATATTAAGTCGAGCTTACAATTATCAGGTCGATCTGTGTAGCAGTGCGACACAAGGACGCCAGTGTTACTCACGTAAATGGAGCAGTACTGTCATTTTCAAAAGCAGTAGGTGTCGTCTTGCAAAGCATTGCGTAGCCCAATTTCGTGTTCCCATCGTTGCCGTCGCTTGACACGCGAGATGAAGGGTCAGCAGGAGACGTCGTTTGAGTACAAGTAACGACTCGACAGTCTGCAGTGGCATTCGAAGAAGGGTTATACAAGGCTACAAAGGAAACGTTGTCTTGATTGCCGTACAGTGTTCCAGCTTCACCCTTTGGAGGCGGCAGTCCCGTGAAGTTTTTGTAGGCTGCCTTCCAGTAATCGACAGTTTCGGCGCAGCTTGGTTGCTCGGCAGTAAGGGACTTGAAAGCATACGTTCCATCTTTGAATGGATCTGCCACTGCTTGGACGCTGTATGTTTCGGATGGCATCTGAGAGAAGGAAGCAAGAGATCAAGGCAGCTCCAGTGCTCATGATGAGGCTAATGAAACGAAGTCTACATAATGCTCAGCGCCTTACGGGTATCAAATGTTCACAAAGGTCTTTCCATTTGTTTTCGGGAAGCTCATCTTCTCCAGGGTCAGTTATTTTTTTTTCGTCGGTTGTTGCCTGAATGAAGTTCGCCAATCCAGCTGCCTCACGGGCAGCATTAATTTCGCTGAGGCATTGGACAGTGTCGCCTGCAACGATTGAGCCCAAGCAGTCTCATTTGTTTGCATATGATTCTGATTGCACATTTGAACAAGAGAGTAACTGCGGTGTTGGCCAAAATTATTGGAATGGCTTCCAAGCGGAGTCAGCAAACTCGAAAGAAAGTGCGCGTGGCAGCCAAGGTTAATTGCTTACCAAGCTTTGCAGTATACGTTACAGTATTTTGTCCAGCTCCAGTTGAGGTGTTGTCGAATAATAACAACAGCGCGGCGCTCAGGAAGATGAAGCTCAGACGTAACATATCCACTGACTGGTCGTCAAGATCTCCCGGTAGAAGAAATGCCTGTGTAAGGGCAAATATGTCTGCAAATTTAGTGAAACAATATTCAAGCTGGCAGATTGAAGAGAAGTCGCGGCATTTCATGGCCACGTCAATATGGCGTTGAAAATGCTTAGTGAGCTCCTTCTGGAGACTGTCGCACAAGACTCTAGATAGGATCTGAGCCAGCAATCCCGCAACTGTTAAGAATGAGATTTCCGTGGCAGAAAAAGCCTATCTATTAGGAAGCAAATTGAAACGCAAAAGCAACGGTCACGCTTTGCAACGTAACTCAGGCACGGGAACGATGAAAATTGTCCGTGCTCTAGATCCACGCTTTCTCTTACAGTAAGGGGTTCTCCAGTCGCTGCCCTTCACAGAGTGAAATATGCGATTTCTACCAGTCGAAATGTCATAAGTAAATTTATGGAATATTTCAGGTCAGTTCAACAGGCAGGCTTCAGCGCCCGTGGAATGCTTTAACGGGAGGCTGTTCAGCATTTTTGCTCCCACTGCGCCGCGCAACAGGCCGGCGCCGCCTTAGAAAGAGCTCATATTAGCGCATCATTGGCAAAGTACTTCCAGAATTTCTTTTCCTATAAACATTTAGCTCAGGCCCACACACGAAGAATTGGGGGTAAACAAGAGCTTTTCTGCAGGCTTTAGAAACTTTTGCTAGGCATCTTGCTTTTTCTAGCAGGAATTAAGCTGCGCATGTCGTCACACCCGATTGAATGAGCTTTTTGAGAATAAAATTATGCTAAGAAGGGTAGATCCGGGAGATTATCCCCGTGAAAGGAACCTTCTTCGGTGCAAATCATGAGGCGAGTGCAGCCCTGACCGGGAGAGCCTCTACCATGGCAAGTCTGCAAGTTTCTGAAGCGCTAACGCCACTAGCTCCAAAAATGTCGTTTTCTCCTCCCTGTGTAGCTGCACGTTCCGAATATTATCACAAGCGTGAAGAGGACTCCAACCCGTGCAAGCCTGAAATCTCTCTCAACAAAAGATTCTCTATCTGCAGAGAAGCTGGACAAATAAATAGAGGAAGATGCAGTTTTGCCCTCGGTTTCAGGTAGTTCTGGTGCGAGACAGCGAGGCTTCTATGGAGCTTCGGCCCAACAGTAAAAAGCAGCATAGAGTCTCCTACATCAGTCACTCAGTCAATGGATTGCTTGGAGAGCTTCGAAATTCCAATATGTGCGTTGAAGGTGAATACCACTGCTAGGTTAGGTAATCCAAATCTGAGTCCACTATACTAGCTCCAGAAATATCGAGGGTGTCAAAGGCAAGTTTTCCCATTTGGCTAGTACATTGTTTGACGAAGGTGCCGTGCAAGTGTGCGAGGTAATAGTCGGCTTCATCTTTCTTCTCTTCCTTAATCCCAGAATCAGCAAATGATCGACATATAAGTTGTGCCACAGCTGCATGCACAATCTGCTACTAAAAGGGGCTGAATATCTATATTCGGATTTCCACAATTCCGGAAGCTGTTGTACGCGCAGTTTCCCTCCCGCAAAAATGGGCTTTAAGCGTGTGGCAGAAGTGGCAGGAGGTTAGTAAGTAATGGCTTCAAAAAACGCGAAGAGTCCTTTTGGTCGGCAAGGGTGCGGGGTTTCATCGCCTGCATCCGATTTCCAACAAGCAACCATGCAGGCGGTAGTTTATAGCTGGTTGCACGAAAACATCATATAGAAGTAATGCCTAACGCCACAATAAAAAGAGCAGCTAGGCTTGGAGCTGCTATAGACGCTGATCCTGTGAGAGAAGATTTAATTCTGTCCCACTGCTCTTGCCTGCGAACCACTCGCAATCACATGGAAGCGATCCGGTCCAACTCACAGCAATTAAGGCGATCTGGGTATCACTGCAACGGAAAGACCAAAATGCCACTTACGTGAACGGAGCAGAGGTGTCATTTGCAAAAGCAGTAGGCATCGTCTTGCAAATCAATGCATAGCCATTTTTCGTTGTTCCGCCCTCCCCACCACTTGTCGCGGTTGCAGGAAGTGAACCGGAGGTAGTCGTTTGAGTGCAAGTAACGACTCGGCAGTCCGCAGTGGCGTTAGATGAAGGATTGTATAGGGCCACAAAAGAAACATTGTCTTGCTTTTTGTATAGGTCTGTGCCTTCAGTCTTCGATGGCGGCAGACCAGTGAAGTTTTTGAAGGCTGCCTTCCAGTAATCCACTGTTTCCTTACAGTTGGGCTCTGCGTCATCTAAGGGCTTGAAAGCATATGTTCCATCTTTAAATGGATTTGTTGAGCTTGACTTAGTCGCCCCTCCCGTTTCTTCTGTCTGCGCAAAGGAAGAAGTTAATGCTGCACTACAGGACATCCTTGGTGATCCTGATTTTGGTCATATTTTGTGCCACTTACTGGAATCAAATGTGTGCAAACCTTTTTCCACTCTTCTTCTAGTTCTGTTTGTGGATCAGTTAATTTGTTTTCCTGTGGGGCCTCTTTGAAGTTTGCCAACCCAGCAGCCTCACGTGCAGCATTGACCTCGCTAAGGCACACAGCGTTTTCGTCTGCAGCAATTGCATTCATACATACCTATATTTTGTCATGAATTAGCTAAGCCTACCTTTTGAACAGTAGAATGGGCTCAGAGCCACGTAGCAGAACTCATCTTCTGAAGTTGACTGAACCCTTCCCCATACTATCGAACACAAGCCAACCTGGGCTTCAGTACGGAGGGAACAAAGGGGAAGAAGGTTAACTGCTTACCAAGAGTTGCAGTGTACTTGATTGTTGGCGCGCTTGTTTGTGAGCCGCCCAGATTTGAGGCGGTCAGCACCATTAACAAACTGCTGAGAAGCGGCGGTAGGCTCCAATGAAGCATCTCCGAGAAGTTGATCCAGAGAAAACGCAGGCGTGAAAAATTTTAAAGAACGCTTTGAAGCAGAAGGGACTCCAACGAAGGCACTGCAGAAGGAAGCTACACTGGGAGCCGACTTTATGTCTGCTGCTGCCGTCAATGCCTCTGCGGATCTGTTGGAGAGCCGCGCCTGTGTGATAGGGAACGCCCAGCACTGAACTGAAAATGTGTGCTTGCAGAACTCCACCACTTGAAATTCAGTCAAATTAGCAATTTAAAAATACAACCTTCAAGAAAAAATGGGCGCAATGGATGTGAATGGAGAGACCAAAACAGAAACGCCTCCTACCAACACTGTGTGAGTGGTACGCTGAGCACTAGATCCACATCAACAAGCTACGCGAACCTCTGTGCATGTGCACGCAAAATCCAGTCTTTCTATTGCCTTATCTGAGATCTATTGCTTTTCTGAGCATAAAACGATAAGTGAGTGACGGATTTCAAGTAGCGTGTTGATCTCGAAGTGAGATTGTTTCAGCATTTGTGTTTGATCTGTGATTAAGCAGAGCGCGAGCGCCCGACTCGTGCGAGCTCCAAATAAGTAGCCTCCCGACATGAAATTCCGAGTACAAGGGAAAACCGAAAGAGTAGACAGGACAAGGTGCCGGTTCCCGCGTTACCTCAGTTCATTTTGTGTCTTCCCGATAGCAAGGAGCCGGGGTCCGCTGGAGTTGCCCAGAGGGCCTTCTGCCAACGGAAAAGCTGCCACGAGTGACTGGTAGTCAATGGTGTGCTCAAAATGCTCAACGACAAAGTGTGTGTCGCGCGTAAATGCCGCCGCCAGTGTCGGCAGTCCATATTGCCTGCAAACTCGTTGTATTGCCTCAAAAAACATCAGACAACACAGAGAGTTTCACTTCTTTCGGCTGAAAAGTAGACTATTTGGCCAAGGAAGCATACAAGCTTGCCATCTAGCAACCCACTATCGTGTACTTTCCTTTTCTCCCTGGCAGACTTAGCGAATGGATTGCCAGGCATTAGCATAATCTGTCACTGAAGACGGCTGAAGCTTGAAACATCGGCCTCTGAACATCCCAGAAAATGTTGTAAGCATACACGGCTTGCATCTCGGAGAGCTGCAATTAAATTATGCTGCAGAACTGGGAGAAGCTTGCGAAGTGATGAGTTGAAAAAGTGAGAAAAGTACCTCTGGTCAGCACGTGAGCTATGCCTCAACGCTGCACCAAAATTCAGGCAGAACGCAATGCAGGTAATACTTTTCATCGGATAGGACCAGAGTCACAAAATCGTAATGCCGAATGTCACGATGGCAAAAGCAACCAAGCTTGGAGTTGCTACTGACTCGGGTGACTCGGAATCTTTGAGAGAAGGTATGACCACGTCCCACTGCTCGGGCCAGTGAAGAAAACGCAATCGCTTAGGCATTGTGTAACCGATTTCAGAGCAATCGCGACACCGTGAGCAGCACTGTGACGCGCGGACCAAATTGTTGCCTACATGTATGGAGCAGCGTTGCAACTTTACAAAGCAGTAGGCGTCAGTAGGCTTCGCCTTGCAAATCAACACATAGTCTGCTCTTTCAGCGTCTCCAGAAGTTTGCATGCAACCGAAACGTGGAGCCGAAAGTGTCGTTTGAGTACAAGTGATGACTCGGCAATCTGCAGTTGCATTAGATGAGAAGTTGTACAGGATTGCAATCAATTCATGGAGTATTGCAACTTGATTTAATTTGCAGGTTCCACAATCCGCAGAATGTTCTCAACGAGAGGGCTTCCAGTACTTCTGCTCGCCGGACTCCGCACTTCCGGCAGAAACAGGCTCTTGTATCAGCGAATCATTGTCAAAATACTTCCACAACATTTTCTCTCCCATTATTCCCTTCCGACGCACACCGAGAGGATAGGGACCAAACAATTGCTTCGCCTCAGGCTATACAAACTTTGCTAGGCATGTGACCTCCACTGGCAAGCAATCTTAATAAGCAAGTTACGGTGCCCACGACGTTGCGCTCCAAATTTCATGAGGCGAATGAGAAGAAAAATATGCTGTTGAAAGTGGCTGCAAGCAAATATCCCCATCCAAAGAACCTTCCTTCACGCAAATCGCAGAGGAAGAGCAATGCTGGCCCAGCCAACCACGCCAACCACCAGCATGAACACTCCACAAAAGCCTACAGTACCAGCTCGAAAGTGATCACAATTTACTCCCTATAGCTGCACACTGTGAATGTTCCCGCAGGCATAAGGACGAATTCCCCCCGTATAAGCCCGGAATAACTCGTCTCTCCTCAACAAATCCCAAATGTGCGCAGGAGCTGAAAGCTGCAACTTTCTACGTGGCCCCACATAACTTCTGTAAGAGAGAGAGAATGCTGTATGCAAAATAAACAAAAATCCACTCGCCAAACACCGCAAGGCGTCCTAAAAGCGCCTGAAAAGCATTCCTAGCACCTCATTGAATGCCTGGAACATTCAATGAGGAGCTGGGAATGTTTCGAAATTCCAGCGACAAGGTGCGCGTTGCAGCTCAATGTCACCGCTCGACTACCCGGTCCATCTTTATTCCTTTATACTAGCTCTATAAATATCATCCAAAGCCTCTCCAATCAGGCGAGAATATTATTTGATCAGGGAGCGGGGAACTGTGCCTGGTGAAAAGCAACGAGTGACCGGCATACGCTAAAATAGCAGGCATAGTTTGTCACTAACAGGAGCTGAATCTCTTAATTTGGTTTTACACGATTCTGGGCAGTGTACATTTTTCCTTCCTCGAAGGTACGCTACAAGCGTGTGGCAGAAATGGCAGGAGGTTAGTAAGGAGTGGTTTTTAAAATTTCAAGAGCCCTTTCGGTAGGCAAGTGCGCAGCGTTTCATCGTTACATCGCGCTTGCGGCAAACAACGATGCAGGCAATGTTTTAGAGCTGAAAGGACGAAGAATCATAGAGCCGTAATGCCGAATGCCACAATGGCAAGAGCAACTAGGCTTGGAGCTGCTATTGACGCGGAGCCTGTGAGAGAAGATTTGATCTTGTTCCACTGCTCTTCCCTGCGAAACACATGAGATCGCATGGATGCGAGTCAGTCCAAGTACCACAATTAAGGCGATGTGCGTAGCACTGCGACGCAAGGACTAAAACGTTGCTTACGTGAATGGAGGAGTGTTACCACTTCCAAAAGCATCAGGCACCGTCTTGCAAAGCAACGCATAGCCATTTGTTTTGGTTCCGGCGTTGGCTCCGTCGTCCTCATCAACTTGCGGAGCTGCAGGAAGTGAAGGAGAGGTAATTGTTTGAGTGCATGTAACGACTCGGCAGTCTGCTGTGGCATTAGATGAAGGGTTATACAGAGCTACAAAAGAGACGTTATCTTGTTTGCTGTATAGGTCTGAGTCTTCAGTTTTTGGCGGAGGCAGTCCAGCGAAGTTTTTGTAGGCTGCCTTCCAGTAATCGACAGTTTCGCTGCAGTTGGGTTTCTCGGCAGTCAGCGATTTGAAAGCATAGGTTCCATCCTTGAAGGGCTCTACAGACGTTAGGACGCTTTCTTCTTGAGGCGGTTCCTGAGAGAAGCATGGAAGAGAGGATTATAGTACTGGTGACCGCGCTGAGGCTAATGGGATAAGTTAGAATCGTGCTCTGTAACTTACTGGTACCAAATATTGACAAAGTTTTTTCCATTCGCCCTCAGAAAGCTCTGTCCCTGCAGGTGCAGATATTTTGTTTTCTGTAGTTGATGCTTCAGTGAAGTGGGCCAATGCAGCTGCCTCACGGGCAGTGTTGACTTCGCTGAGGCATTCGACAGTGGTGCCTGCAGCCATTGTGTTCAAACACGCTAGTTCTTTCTCACATATTTTTAAAGATATTTTGGAGCAAGAGAATAGATGCGGTATCAACTACTCAAACGTACTTTTTGGATTGAACTCCCACGCGCAACCATGGGCCGCACGCAGGCTCAAAGAAAAGCAGAAATTGGGCGAAAGAGTCGGGGTTTATCGCCTACCAAGTTTTGCAGTATATTTTACGGTAGTTCCCGCCATTGCTTGTGGGCTGTTTTCGCTCAATAGCAGCAGCGAGGCGCTGAGGAAGGAGGCGAACTTGACAGGCAGCATTTCTGCCGAGTGGAGCTTGAAATATCCCAAATGGAGAAATATCTGTCTGCTGAAACGGAGCAGTGGCAAACTGAACGTGAATATGATCTAGTCAGAATATTAAAGAAAAATCGTGTTCTTTCGTACTCGCGTCAATGTGACGCTGAAGAGGGTGGGTAAGCAAGCACTGGCAAACCTGGCGCGAGTTATCTTAAAAAGAATCTGATCGTGCGAGTTTCCATCCGTCCCAGGGGGTCCTTATGTAGCCAGTAAACCTTATTTTGGGGGTTAAACGATAAAAGCTACAAAAATAACGGCCATGCTCCCCAAAGCAGTACAACTGGTGAAACGGTGAAACGAATCCGTGCTCTAGATCCGCCCAGGCTGTAGAGCAGTGGATCTTGCGTCCCTGCATCCTGAAAAATGCTACTTACTTTTCCCACCATTCAATCTGAAATTAATTATTCCGTGCACACGTCAATGCAGTTGGAACGTTTCATAGCCCGGAGTGCGACAACGAACAGACGGTCATGACTTTTTCTCTAGGTGAGCCGTAGCTCAGCACGAGTGGGCCGGCGCCGCGTCAGGAAAACCGGTGCCGCGCCGAGAAATCCTCGGAAGAGTCAAGCATTCTTAATCGAACTCTAATATTTCTTCTCATCTGCGCATTTACTTCTGGAACACATGCAGCTCTTCAGCAAATGAATACTACAAGCAAGCGCCCTCCGTGTAAAAGCCTGTACAAAAAAGCCTTGCGGCTTGGCGTCTCACTTTAAAAGAAAGGCATACTCCGGCTTTCGCTGGTGTGCACGGCATTTTTTGCCTGGGTGAACAAGACAGTTGAAGAAATATATACTCTGCAAGGTAGCGGAGGGGAATTGCTGCGACGAAGAAAACCTGCTCAACGGGAATCACAGAAAGAGCGGAGTGTCAATCCTGCCAGCCTGCACCACCAACAGTCCACAAGTTCCCAACGCGTACCCCGTTTTTTTTTAGAAGAGCAAATAATTCATTGACACCTCCCTACACAACTGCACGTTGCGAGCATTCTCTCAAGCGTTCCGACAACTTAATCGGTCCCTTCACTTCCCTTTAATCCTTAAGTGGCAGCCACCAACTCGAAGATAATTGCTAGTGGGACAAACCTGATCGGTGATTGAAGAATAACCAACAGAAACAGACTGTTACATGAGATGCGCAACGCTGCAGGTTCGCAGTGTCTGGTTGCTGGTGAGGTCGCAAACTACGGGCCAGCCATAATGATGCTCCAGAGATCGATCACAAAGAAACGTCTTCAAAAAAAGGAGCATAACAACGCCTGATAGGCTAGTGAGTAGATTAATTTTGCTCGGGTGTGCTTAAACACCGGCGTGCTGGTCAGCGCATCACTAGGTGGATGCGTCACAGCGCATGAATACCAAGAGCTACGATAAGAAAAGCAGCAATACTGGGGAATGCGGCAGACGCAGAACCTATGATGCATACTATGACCTTATTGCACTGCTCTTCTCTGCGCAACATCCACAAACGCATGCGCAATGATTAGCTCAGTTCGCAGCTACCCCCGAAGCGTAATCAGCAATAGAACGCAGACGTCAACATGCTGCTCATATGAATGTAGGGAATGCATCGTCTTGAAAGGCGTCGGTACTTGTCATGCAATTCAGCATGTATCAATTCTTTGAAGCATCCTCTGCCTCATTTTCTTCTGGCAGGCCTGCTTTCGGACTTGCTTTTACTGTGCAGGTGACGACTCGACAATCTGCAATAAAGTTTGGTGTGGGGTTGTTCAACGCTACGAATGAAACATTGGCCTGCTTTTTGTATAGCTGTTCATCTTAATTCTTTGAAGGGGGGAAGCGCCTTGGAGTTGGTCTGTGCCAGTGAAAGGCTGCTTCCACTGGGTCTAGTGTCGTTACAGCCCGATTTTTAAGGAAGTTTAGGCCATAAAAGCATATGCTCCACTATTAAACTGTTTTTCCGATATTGCTTTTGTTGTTTCCTGAGTTCCTGAGTGCGACAGGAAACAAAGTGCGCTGGCAAACTTACATATTCACATCTATAGTAGTGACGTTGAGCCAGTGAAACGACTTACGTGTATCAGGTATTCACAAACGAGACGTCCCGGGTTTCAATCTCTAAGCAGCCCCCAAATGTAGTACGCGGGCACCAGCTGCCATCCTACATGTGGCCCAAACCTTCACCAGCAAGTGAATTTGAATTCCTGGATCGAAACCTGTCATCTACGCTAGGGAATTGCATTAGTGCAGACTCCAGTCAGATAGATCTCCCCTTGCCATGCCGTCCCTCAAGATGCGGGACTAGACTTCTCCCTGGCTGAGGTGGGAGTTCAAATATTCCGCTACTGCTGTCTAAGGGACCAAAGGTGCCACTTTAATCGGCCCTGAGAGCTGCACCTGGCGATTTTGTACCGGAGGCGCCCGAGATGGATCATGCCCAGGAAGCTGCACTGCTAGAGAGGCAGATAACACAGCTAAAATCCCTTATACTACGCAGAAAAACGCAAGAGACCCCCCAACCGTCTGTCCGCAGCTGCCACGTGAATGAGGCCGTAACATAAAGAGCGTCCTGCAAGTGGTGGAGCCACAGTTTACGAAGATGTGTCTGGGAAGACCATAATGGGGATTACAGCTCGCGGAATACACGGAAGGGGAGGCACTGGGGTAATGGCCACACTTGAGGGATACCGGTGCGGGCATGACAAAAACTGGACACAGTTACAGCGTGAGACACAGTTACAGCATGACACACAGTTACAGAGTGACATGCTACAATGTTTTAGCATTGTTAACCGTGATAAAGTCCTACGTCAGATAGCCGGGAACTGGTGGGCTGGAGACCACGAGAAATATTTTGCCAACTTTGCGAAGATAGTAGCACTGGGTACATCGATGCCAGCCGCTGGCATCCTCGGCTGTTTCCTAGCCAACTTACCCGTCAAGTAGCCCAGGGCAGTAACTCATTTGGAAACGGTCAAATTTCCACGTTGGAGTACAGCAGCAGCAGCTTTGGCGGAGCTTGAAACTCCTTGGGCACAAACATACGAGTAGCTGCGCAGATGGCGGCTCGAGTTGAACTCAAGGTGCCCCGAAAGGCTGGTTGCAGCTGATCGGCCTGCACCCGCAGGCTCAAAGGTGAACTACCCCGGCCCGAATTATGGACGTGGAACAGAGTGTTGCGAATGCAAAACAAAGGGGCGTATGGCAAGAGACTGTCCTTCCCGCGCCGTCCGGGCACTCCGTTTTGGGGAAACGTATATGATGTGTGGCGGACTGGGACACTATACAAGGGACTGCCCAGTTCGCCCGAAGAATGGCACCGAGGGCACGCCTAGACAGCAGCTGCGACTGTGCAGAGGCAAGAAGACTGAAAGACGAGAGAACCTAGGCTTTGTGGGAGACGAACGTGCTGAGCATGCCACTCGTCGGTTTGGCCTTAGTGGCCGCTCTCGACAAGTGGTCCCACCTACTTCGAGTTACCATGGTCACCGCATATACTGACCATCAGGCCCTTACCCACTTACAGCAGCTAAAACTGCCCAAGCCCCATCGTGGACGCATGGGTGGTCGATGGCTCGACTTCCTTGCGGAGTTCTCAGGCCTCACAATCATTTGCTTACAGCACGAAACCAGGTGGCAGACGCATTGCTGCGCCTCCCTCATTAGCCGACCACACGCCACTTCAGTACGTCCAAGCCACCCAGCACCCCTTACAGGATTCTCTGGCACCAGTTCTGCCAGCTGCTGAACCTACAGGGCCAGGGCGGCAAGGCCCACAACACCGGAAGCTGGCCAACTATCGGGAATTGGCCAGCTTCTTGCAGTACCACGGTGGAGCAGACCGGTGAAGCTACCCAATTCGAGTTCCGCAACCGCCAAATTACCTTTCGTTATGAACCCCCTTGCTTGAGCGTTTGCATCTACGGCCTCTGCAGCATTTGCCTTCCTCAATTTTTGAGTTCCTCACGCGTGTACTTTATACTCATCATGATCATGTGACCGCCGGGCATCGAGGCCAGAAGAAGCTCTTCGTAGCTCTGAGCAAATATTGCTATTGGCCAGGCATGCGTGCATACTGCTTGCGTAAGAACTCGCCCACAATGCAAATCATTCCTCAACGGAGCTCTCACCCTTCGAGGTAATAATTGGTGAGAACCCCCTTACCGCCACGGACTTTGACACTGTTGGCGCTCTAGCTCCTACACTCACGTTCCCCATGACAAAGCTTTGCTCTCATGATGTGGCACTGTGTTCTGTCTCACAGCCGGCAACAGAAGTCCTAATGCTGGTCCTAAGCAGAAGAATCCAGTGGAGACAAGGTATGGCTCAGCAGCAAGAACCTACCCGCCCTGAAGAGCTGTCCTAAGTTTGAACCCCGTTACCGGGGCCCCTTTGAGAACACCGAATGTATCGGGGCCGCGGCGCAACGCCGTGCTTTGCGGCCTACATACGAGTGTCACCACGTGTCGTAGTTAGTTCCTCACCGCCCCTGCGTTCCGCACTTGATTCCTTAGGGGAGCGGTGGTACGCTGGCCTCCTACCCGTGACGCGGCAGGCAACCCGACGGACCAGTACGTTGTGGATTATATACTTGACCAGCGAGGCTCTGGAGATGATGAGTAGTACTTCTTCAAATGGCATGGCCCACCTGAGGACTGCGCCACATGGGAGCATGCTAACCATCTTGCTGGATGCCTTGACGCGTGCCTGGAGGCGCTGCCAGAGCGGATACCAACGGACCCAGACTTGCTCTTCCCCTTCTGGCATCCTTATGACCCCCTAACAGTGTCTTGCGTTGCTTACAGAGCGCTCATTCTTTTTCTCATTCCCTGTTCCGTTCCATTCTGTGTCGCTCTGTTGTACGCGTGGCGGCTCGATCTTCGAGTTGTGCATGGGGAGGAGGAAGCGCTCACGCGGTGGCATGTGCACTTGCATGTTCACTAAATACATATTAGCATCGCACTAGGGTTAGGATAACGATAGCAAGCGGATAGAGTGAGG